GAGAGAGAGAGAGAAGGTTGGTTGGGTTTTTTAAAATATTACGATATTACATCTTTTCCATCTTTTTTGAAGTACAACGAACTCGTTGCAATGGAATGTTACAGCTTCGATACCAAAGTGCGGAGGCTGTCAAGAAGCGATATTAGACAAATATGTTCTGAGGGTTCTCGAGAGGTGTTGGCATGCGAGGTGTCTCACGTGCAGGGATTGCGGCGCAAGATTGACCGATAAATGTTTTGCAAGAAACGGTCACGTTTTCTGCAAGGATGACTTCTTCAAGTAAGTACCAATAATTATTTTTTTATCGTTTCATCTTTGATCTCCGCCCGATAATCCGTGTAACAATTTTTCGAAACCGATTTCGAACAATTTCGTCGAATCAAAGTTTCTGACAAAACTACTTTTCGATATCACTCCCGTTACATTTATAACGAGCACTTACGTAATACTTTTTTTTTTTTTTACTTACACATTGTAACCGTGTGAACACGTTTATTACGTAATATTGTGACAAGTTATACGTGCAATTTTATCTAAACAGCAAAAAGATAGCAAAAAAAAAAATATATATATATATATATAATAAAACACTTATCAACCGTATCGGTCGCAAAAATTGCAGTTGGAAAATCCGAAAGTCTGTATCTTATTGTATCTCTGGCGAGTAATGGAAAAGCGGATGCGAGTGGTAGGAGAAATAAGAAGAAAAAAAAAGTTGGATCAAACGTGTATGTATGTATATACGTACGTACGTATATCCGGAGGCTGGTGGGTATCGATTGTGTCGGAAAAGCGTGCCTTTTCTCATCTCACCCACACCTTGCCCAGGACGAGACGCCATTTTTCTTCTCCCGTGAGCCGAATCGAAGGAACTTGCTCTCCTCCCCTTTCTTCCTCCTCTACCACCCTTCACGATGGTATTCCACTTTTCTTCTGGATCCAGGAATTTCGAGAAGAGGTGGAAAGTTGAGAGAGAGAGAGTTCGCGAAACTCGAGTTCGGAAAAGAACGGCCGGAGAGATTTATTCATCGACGTGGGTGGAGAAAAAAAAAGAAAGAAAGAAAGAAAGAAAGGGGAAGAATTGTTAATTAATCTCGCGTCAACAACCAAGCATCGTTCTGATTAATACACGAACGTAATGTGAAAATGTTGTATGTTGTTGGTATGGCAGGCGTTTTGGAACGAAATGCGCGGGCTGCGGCCAAGGATTGGCACCATCTCAGGTCGTGCGTAGGGCGCAAGAGTTGATCTATCATCTAACTTGTTTCTCGTGCGCCCTTTGCTCTCGACAGTTGGACACCGGGGACGAGTTCTATCTGATGGAGGATAGAAAGCTCGTTTGTAAACCCGACTACGAGCAGGCTAAGGCAAAAGGTGACGTTTCTTTCCCTCGTTTCCCTTCTTCCTTCCATTTTTCATCCATTTTTCTCGCGCGAGGAAAAGGAAAAATCTCTTTTCTTTTTTTTTTTTTTCTCGTGCTCTTTCGAATCGCAGAATTGGCAGACGGAGGGAGCATAGACGGTGATCAACCGAATAAAAGGCCAAGGACCACGATCACCGCGAAACAGTTGGAGACCTTGAAATTAGCGTACAACACCAGCCCTAAACCAGCGAGACACGTGCGAGAACAACTTTCTCAGGACACAGGACTAGACATGCGCGTCGTTCAAGTCTGGTTCCAAAATAGGTAAAGAAAATTACGTTAAAAAAAGTATGAATTCGAACGAACGAAATATATCGATACAACACGGTGTTGGATACCGCAAGACGCCGGCTTTTATCATTTTATAAATATTTTCAAAAGCCGTTGCAACTTAAATATAAAGATAGGCGAGATAATATAAATCTATGATTTTCGTAAAGCATTAAGATGATATCTCGTGAAATGTTAGAATCGTTAATTGTCTTATATTTATTTATATTTATCTTAATATTCGTTGAATAAAATATCGGAAGAAACAAGAAGAAGGTGAGGAATTATTAAAATTAAAGGATCAAAAAAAAAAAAATAAAGGATATAATTAAATTAAATACGAACGATATGAAATTGTTATAATTATAAATTTCTCAAGAATAGTATTATTCATATAACGTGGCAAATGGATCGTTAGTTGTCATCCTATCTAATAATCTAAGATTTCCGCTATTCATCTTTTCGTTATCTCTATTGACATCATATAATTTTTATACACCGTTATGTACAATATTACCAATTGAAAAAAAATTACTTTATCAATTCTATACTTGTATGCCATAATCCTATGTGCTTCGTGTAAAAAAAGCACTGCACTTTGACAATATCGATACAAAGTTATCAATCAAGATTTTTTTTCTTTTTTCATTATTGATAAAAATTTTAAAAATCCTATACGTACTTTAGATACACACACTTTGGATTTTGTTAAAGCCATTTATTACTCTTACAATTTTTCTATGAGATTCTTAAGTAACTTCTTTCTTTCTTTTTTTCTTTTTTTCTTTTTTTTTTTCTTCTCTCTCTCCATAATAAGTCCCCCTTGGAAAATAATATAAAGATAACATTGTTGCCATTGTTGTAAAATTCAATGATAAATACAATCTTTATAAAAACTTGCAAAAATGTTCGATTTAACATCGAGAAAAGATATTAATTTCGATAGTCGCTTGAGTCAATTGAGAGGAGTTGATCATAGAGGAAATTTCTTCCCTCCTGTCGTAGGAGAGCAAAAGAGAAGAGACTGAAAAAAGATGCCGGTAGAACAAGATGGTCTCAATATTTTCGAAGTATGAAAGGAACAGGGGCTGGTGGACATTCGCCTAGACACGATAAGCTTCTTGAAAAGGATGAACTCAAGGTCGATTTAGATTCCACTTTTGGTCACCATGGTAAGTAGACGTATCATCTTTATAATTTGTATTTAATCAACGACGAATACTTATTCCTTGTTTTTTGAAGATTATTGAAGATCAGAGAGAAGATATTAATTTCGCTTATTTTTAAAACGTATATCTCCGTACAAGATAAAATCTTTGACGGTTTGGTAATCGAAAAATCGCGGTGCATTATTAAAAATAGCCCCTGAATAACGCGTTATTTGTATTTCCAATATTACGAAATGCATATACCACTTCCCCTTTGTGCGCACAAGCAAGCATTCCCTTCGTTTCCTGTAACGAGAAAAATATTAAAAGTAATGGTAATTAATCTCGTCGAATATCGCGAAAGATTTTATCATTTAAAACGAGGAATGAAAAGATAAATTCAAATAAAAGATAAAAAAAATAGATTTGTATAATATAAATTGTCCAAATAATATATATTTTTTACCCCGTCGTTTAACTTAATCGATAAATTGCAAAATATTGCCGAGAAAAAGTGTTGGCAATCGAGTTTTCAGCAAATATAAAAAGCGCAGAAAGAAAGCTTTAAAAAAAAATCATTTCTCCGCCTCTTGTTGCTTTCGCTTTAATGTTGGTTACATCTAAGCTTTCGTGTATTCGAGCGTTTAGCGGAGGGGAAGACGATCTCGTCAATTATTCACAAGTTCGTGGAGGCTAACTGCTAGTTCGCCGTGTCCGAGATTTCAGGAAGATTGCGGACTATCCTGGAATTTATACCGACCGTTAACCATGCGCGCCGTAAAGTCGTATAAACTTCACCTATTGTTTAAATTTTAAACGGCTTCATCACCGAGTGCCTTTTCGCCTTTTCGAAATATTAACCAACTTATTTATCCTTCCTTCCCCCTACTTTGCTTTATTTATTTTTAAAAAAATTTTTCGAAATTTTCCACGCATATACAGAAAGAACATTTATACACGTATAGAGATTCCATCCATCGTCGAATATACAACACTTTTCATTAATCGCAACATTTGTTGGTCAACAGCTACGAGATAATTTACACGAGGATGATATTATATGTTTAGATTTGAGTAACGACAGTTACGGGACAGTGGTGAACATGGGATTAGATGGCGAAGGTGCGAGTCCAGGTGGGGGCGGAAATGGGGCAGGCGGGGGCCCTCCACGTGGTTATCTAGGCGCAACGACCCCCCCTTATCTCTCAACGTCCAGATCACCGTCCTTACCACCTCAGTTTCCATATCCACCGGATGCCGGCCTCTCCGTCTACACCACTCTTGGTAAGAGACGCTGTTCATTTTTCTTCCCGATTAAAAAAGGACGAGTTAATTAAAAAAAAAAAAAAATAAGGATAGGATAAATCGCACGTATTATAGGACGGATGGAACGACGAATGTTGCAGGAGGCGCGGGTGGGATGGTACCAGGACCGGCGTCGGATTTGAGCAACGAATCGAGCGGAGGCGGTGGAGGCGGCGGAGGTGGCGGTGGAGGTGGTTACCCGGACTTTCCACCCTCGCCCGATTCATGGCTCGGCGAACCACCACCTCCACACGCTCACCACCATTCCCACTACGCCACATAACCCGGCAAACTGACGCGTTGCCAACCACCGTTCGTAAGAACGGATCGACGCAAGGCGTTCACTTGACGACCCGTTTGCCTGCGAGGCAAGGCTTGTACCGAAAACTGAGCCCCCCTCCCCCCACTTTCGGATCGATCTGTCCACTTTCGTCGATCCAACGCCTCGTTACGATTCCCGTACGACGCCTCGGCGAGAGGATCTCGATGTTTCTCGGTGTATCGCCAAATAGATGATCCATCTAGAGGTGGAACTCGATCGAAGAGATGGCCGTTTCGAGGACCGTCTCGAACGAAGAAGTCATTCCAACACACCGTATTCTGCACCGTCCCGGCGGGTTTCCCATCATCGGAATGATGCCATGTGTCGCTATCGTATATAACGTTACTTTATAGCGCAAATACGATACGGATTCGATTAGGTACGATTAATTTAAATATATTTATGTACAAGTTCCTCGTTTCCCGGTACTACTGGAGTTTAATCGTCGAATAAAGGAAAAACTAGAAGGTAGGTTAGACGTGTCGCGATACCGGATCGAATCGATGTGATTCGGAAGATTACGGTTCTTTCGAAATACGGTTATTTAGAAATTGAGATTCTTTCTTTAATTAATTCGTTAACTAATCGATCAAACTTTTGTTTAAAATCATATATATATATTTCGATGAACAATATTGTAGAAAAGATCGATATTTATTTTACGGAATATTTTCATTTCTGAACGAGATAAAATTTGTATACAGACCGTATACTTCGCGAAAGACATCGTTTCATTGAAAGACATGATCACGGAACACGATTTCCGTGGTATATCGCGTTTACGTGATGCTAGAAGTTTCAGGTGTCATTTATTGTAAATAGTTCAGATTAGATTTTATCGTATTACAATAATACAAACAAAGAATAATGACGAGAAATGGAAAAAAGCAGGGGAAAAAAAGGAAAGGATTGGCGTACAGCGATCTCTACAAGAAGCGACGCCGTCCGCAAAAATTCAAACATTTAAGATAAAAGTGAACCCTGAAAACCCTAATGAATTTATCGCATCAACACTCGATAGATCGATTTTCTCGTAAGTAAAAGGTTAACGAAGTTGTTCCATATTTTTTATTATTAGCGAAGCTGTGACGTAACATCGAATCACAAAAAAAGTTCGGTTGAAGAAGCGTTGGAATGAAAGGTCAATTTTGATTGGTCACGATTTACATTTTCCCATAATTGAATATTGAATGTTGCACCTTGTATATATATGAATTTAGTGCTACAAAGTTGGCTAGCTTCGCGACCAATCAGAATCATTCTACTTTGCCGCGAATCGCTCAGTCGACTTTAAGAAGCGGACGAGTGAAGATGCGATGCGAGAACGATCCGCGTAAAATAAAATCGAATATCGTCGTTTCTATTTCCGAATATTTTACAAAAAATCGATTCACGAAGCGTGATTTTCAATCGTAAGTGACATCCTGATGTGTGAATCATTAATTGTGTCGTAATTTATTGCGAAAAGATTACTTCCGATCGGTGACTAGTGGAACTTCGAAATGTGAGAAAATGTTTCTCCACGTTGGAACAACGGTCGGTGTATCGTACAGCAAAAAAACAATCATGTAGTTTACAATCATCAAGTGTATCGAGGATATTTTGTAGCTTGTCAACGTCACGAATGTCAACATCCACGATTGTCGCTCGAAAGTAAGTCCTTTTTTCGCGACTTATTAGATGATCGCTATTCGATTCCGCCAACGTAACGAAATCGTCAAACAAACATGGCGCCATTGGATGGATGGTGTACCGAATCAAAGTTTACTTTGCGTGTTTGTTTATCGTTGGTGAAACCGAGCGTCAGTAGATTACACCTTTGACGTGCTCTGCGTCACTTTTTATCGATTCACAGCATTGGAAAGGCACTGTCGCGAGACATTTCGATCAATCGATTCCATTTGAACGAACGTTCATTTATGCGATTAACGCTTTTACAGATAGGGTTGTAAATTTACTTGAAAAAATTTTATCGACCTATAAAAAATGGATTAATAACGTTTTTTTAATTATTAAACGAAATACGTAATATACGTGTAATATATTACGAAAAATTTGACGATAAGCAAATACAATATATCGATTACTCTATTACTCCTCGTTTATTACGAACGATATCGTTACTTCTCTGTCTGTATAGTGTTAATAATTTTAAATAATCAAAGTCATAACGATGTCAATTGTACCCTCGTCTCAATGCATATACGCGATTATGTACAATTTGTTATATGTACATAGTACACGCGAGATGTATAAATATTCGAGAAAATATGTCTAGATTTATAGATGATCGATAATCAAAAGTAACAGATTCAATTGATCGATTATGGTCTCCGACTGATGGCTAACTTCATTCGCATATATAGTAATATGAGGCATAACGTTTGTTGTTTTTGTAACGAAGAAAAAGAAGAAATTTTAACTCGTGTTTGTTCAAAATTTACAACATCGTGTCTTGTTGTATAAAAACAATTTGTAAATTTCTAAATTTATTTCTTGAAAATTCTGCGTGCCTCGTATTATTTGAGGAATATAGTTCTTGAAACATAGCACGTATCTGACAAAGACCGGTAAAAAATAATATATCATTGTAGAATTGTATATACGTCGTCCCTGTTTATTTTACCCGCGAAAATTCAATGAATTGAAATTGGAAATTGAA